ATCAAAGTCACCTCACCACGACTCAATCTTGAATGCAGGGGTTTAGGGCTTAGTAGTCACGTGAGTCTTGTAGCAAGAGCTGCAACGGAAGAAGCACCTGTGGTAGCTTGATGGTCTTTCATTCAGGCTTGGACTCCCCGCCGTGAATGTGTGAAAGAGCCCTAGGCCAGACAGTGCGAAGCCTCATGCCGGGACCCAGACGTCCTTAACTCCATCACGGTTTAGGGTTTAGGGCACATGCGACCAAAAAGAAAATCGGACACAGGAACACAGAACTTCTTGAAACACCGTTTCAAGCACCCCCAAAAACACTGCACATCCTTCAACCCCTAAACTGAAAGCTCGGAATATAGAAAATTGAAATCAGACCTGAAACATATAATTGCCTATATTATTTTGGGGGGGTTCCTCGTTATAGCTACAGTGTAATGGGCCCCAAGAATACCACCCTGAAGCCCAAAACCTGAACCCACCAGAGCCAGGCGGCATCTCGAACTCTGCCGCCTCCTCCTTATCTCGCTCCTCCCGCTCATCCTTCCGCTTCCTTGCATTTGGTAGGGTTTAGGGTTTGGGGGTTTGGGGTTTGGGGTGTAGGGGAATTCACTTAGGGTTTGGGGGTTTTGGATGTTGAAAGTTCTGGGGTTCAATTAAGGTACAGGGTTGAACTACTTTCCGGTTCGAGACGCTGAGGGGAGTCGGGCTTCAGGGGGTTTCGGGACCTCTGGAGTTTAATGGTTCTTGCGGCTTGCGGATGCAGCGCTCTCTACGGCTTCAGGATTTGGTTAACAGCGTGGTTCTTCTCGTAGACAGCCCAGAACCCTCGCACAAAATGACACTCCAAGCCCAGCTGAATCCCCACCTATTCAAAGCCCGACAGAGTAATCAATATACCGAAAAAATCGGCGTTGACACCAAAAGAAATGCATTTCGCGTGTTAAAAATGAAGCAAAACCCTCATCTTAATTGTGTTCTGCATCCAGAACCTGAAACGTCTATTGTACGAGCCTCTTGTTGCAATATATAGCAGTACAATGTGCTATAATTGTTACTATTTTTCATTAGCACACGACCCTAAACCCCGAACCTATTTTTTTTGATGCATCTCCAAGTGAGTCCGCTCCTCGGAGGACTCTGCCTCTTGGAAAAGACCATCATTCGCGACCGCTCACCATCCTTGAGGGCTATCGGGTTTGGGGCTTTGGGTTTAGGAATTTGGGGATTTAGGGGTTTTGGGGTTTAGGGTTTAGTTTAGGGTTTAGGAACTTGGGGATTTAGGGGTTTGGGGTTTGGGTTTTGGGGATGTTTTCAGCTGGTTCTTGGAGAGGCCTTTTGTCCGTAAGGCAGCTAGGCTTAGTACCGGAGCTGGTCTGACATGATAGACCGGGTCCCCAATTCCCTGTCTAAAGCCTTGGCAAGTCGAGGGCTTACGGGCCTTGGAGAGTAGGTTTAGTGTGTGGGTCTGGTGGAGGCTTGAGGCTTGGGACTCACATGGAGGGATGACGTTCAAACCAGCTGATTACTTCTGCTACCAAGAGAATTCGCCTCAGACCCAGCCGAAGCTGTCAGAAAATGTGCAGGAACTCTTCGCTCTCCTCTGAATCCATCCCCAGTGACCCACCCCCCGCTTAGAGGGGTGAACCTGCTAGTTGGGCCCGCATGTGGAGACTACTGTTCACCTGCGGATGATGGAGCACTTACAGTTGCCGGTGGCTGCAGGTGCAGGCTGATGGCGTGCGGCTGTCAAAAACCAATGATAGGTGGATGATAGGTGGAACCCCATGCAGTGCATGCTCTTGTGTGTGTGTACTGGCTATGTGTGTATATGCCTGCCGACCTGCATACGTACATACATACATACATACGCAACTACGTACGTACATATGTACACACGTACATACATACATACGCACATACCTACCTGCCTACCTACATACATACAGACATGCATGCATATATGGTGTGGTGTTGCCCACCCCCGCTCCCCCCGCCCCGGCCATGGCCATGGTCCCTTCTACACACACATTTTGATTCTCCCGGCAAATCTGTGGCCTGTGGTGTGGTTTCTCTGCTGCGCCCCCTGTGGTGTGGTGTGGTGGGCTTGGGTTGTTGAACCGTGTTGGGTTTAGGGTTTGCACCCGCGCCCCCCTGTGGTGCGGCGGTGGGTTTTGGGCTATTTAACCCCCCTTCTCCCCCTCTGTGGTGTGGTGTGGTGTGCTGTGGTGGTGGGTTGGTGGGTGTTGGGTTTAGGCTTTAGGGTTTGCACCCGTGCCCCTTGCTGTGGGCGGTTTAGGGTTTCGGTGTATAGATATGGAAGGGTTTAGGGTTGAGGGTCAGCAGCTGGGCGCCCAGGTGAGCGTCGCCACTTTGGATCGCGGGTTCGGGGGGCCCATCCCTGTGACTGTTGGCACTTTTAATACAACAGGGACGACCCTCACGAGGATCTTGGGTGTATACCATGGGGGACCATACATGGGTGGGGGTCTGGGGGGGACTACTAACACGGAACACGGAACCATTTATGTATACATATAGATATCCCCCATATATGTATACATATATATATATATATATATATATATACAAATATGTACATATATATATACAAATATGTACATATATATATATATATATTAATTTATTTAGTTTTATTTATCCGTGTGTGTGTGTTTCTCATGTGTGTACGTGTGTATATGCATACATACGTACATACATACATACATACATATCATATCATATCATATCATATCATATCATATCATATGCGTGTGTGTGTGTTATGTGTGTGTATCCAGAAAATCGCCCCACCACGCTGGAAGTTGCAGAGCACAACTTGTTCTCATGCATTCTTCTGCATTCGAGCAATGGTGTTTTACGATCCTTTGGGCGCCTGCTGCCAAGGAAGGCACAGCAAGGCCACAGAGGAACTACTTGAAGGATCAAGGGATTCAGAGAAGTAGAGTTAAAAGCACCCTAGACATATCTAGACTGGCGGTGTCTGATTATATCACATCCCTACTTATGACCTATTTACTCGGTTTCTGAACCTTCCAGCACTCCCTAAAACCCTGAACGCTCTCAGTCGGTCCGGCCTTCTCATGCGCCTGTCGGAGCGCCTCTGCCTTCGACAGGACCACGGAGCCCGAGTCACGGTAGCCCAGTGTCGACATTCCTGGCCGTCTTCACATCCAACGTTTGGGGGTTTTGGGTTTATGGGTCCAGATTTAGGGTAGCTGGCGGATAACAAGCCAAGCCTTTCCGCATCTGTTCAGGGGTTGCTTTTGTCTTAACGCGGGTTCGAGGACTCTTGAGATAGAAATTCAGAAAATGCAGGCCGGTACGAGTCTATCGGCCTTCTTGGGTCCCGGTGTGTCTGGTTGGTGGTTTGGAAATGATGAATCTCGGAGGCGTAGCGGCTCTTACTTCGGTCGAAGGCATGTGAGTCCACACAGCCACAGATGCGCAGAGGGCGATTGCGACTCCCTACTAGCATGACCGTTGTTGCTCTTGTTACACTCATTCGTATTGTTGCTGCTAATAACGTTGAACATTCCTCTTCGTCGCACGGCTTGGAAGCGTTGAACAGCTTCAAGCCTTGACGTTCACAATTGTGGAAATTGCTCTGATCACTCCGGGAGGCCGTCTTGATGGCTCAGTCTGAGCTTTGGAGTTTAGGGTTCTGCCTGGAACCGAAAGGAAGAGGCTTCCTCCAAACACACTTTAGGGTTTAGGGTTGCTGGCATTCCGATCTTCCTCCCCAGACCGATGAGGCACTTGCCAAATCTGCCGCAATCTTATCGACGACAGCTCCGAATGCTAACGTCGGAAGCTGATTAAGAAACCCTGGGCCTTGTACCCCCAACGTTGTAGGATGCAAAAAAAGAACCCGAACAAAGGCCCAGGGTTTCTTAATCAGGTTCCTACACGAGGTTGGGGCTCAGAAATTCTAGTTCATGGTCGGGATAGGATTAAATAAACATGTACATTTTTAATCCTTATTGGGTTTAAAAGTACCCACAAAGCTCTAAAATGTTACCCAACTATGACAAAGAAATCCCCTCTTGATCAGCCTTACACCTCAGCTGCGGCTCAGAGAGGGCCACTTGCTGAGGCCGCTTGAGGGCAGCTCCGGAAGCCCACGAAGTCTTCACTGCATACAAAGTCAGAGTCTACATAAATAATATATGTATATATATATATATACATTTCCTTATATATAGATATATATATATATATAACATTCTACTGTTGTGCGCTGAGCTTTGGCAGAGGATGGAAAAACTCTGGGTATTTTCGGCGTGGCTGGGCGGGGTCACGGTACCATAGTTCTATGGGAAGTGTTCAGCTACAGCTCCCGAAGTAAGCACTTGATCCAATTGCTATGCTCACTCTTGCAAAGTGCTCTTGAGCACCTCATGGCATGCGGGACAGTGCAGCTGATCTCTCACTCGCCACTAATGTAGGAACCTGATTAAGAAACCTTGGGCCTTTATTAGTGTTCCTTATATGAATCCTACTGTACAATTTTGGGGTTATAGGCCCAGGGGTTCTTAAGCATGTTCCTACATTAGACTTCCAACTGGAACCTAGTGCACCGATGTCACTTCATGCACTGGCAGTCGTGTCTACGACAGTGTACGAGCCATCCGCACGGGACAAACAAGCTGAGAGAGTTTCTGACAGGCAGGCTGGAAGCGCATGTGCCGCAAGTTACGATGACTCCACATTTTAGGTGACTGTATGACAGCGTCCATACAGATTAACACCCTTTCGACCGAAAGCTCAGGCTGCACACAGGAGGCGCGGCCCTCAGAGTCGCACCGCTTTAGCCCCTCGAGCTGAATCTCGGGCTGTATGCGCCATGCAAAGGATTATTCCGACCCCAGATCCGATGCTTCGGGTCGGTGAAGCCCTGAAATGCTACCCTCAGTCAAACCGGGCGGCATAAAGACTGTCAGTGACCGGATTCGACCAGTCATCCAACAAAAATCTGAGAAGACCACGCATTGGGCCCTGCCAGGCCGCCCGCCCACTAGGAGGCGCGGCGGTGGCAGGTGCGGGACCTGCACTCCGGGGCTCTTAAACTCCGAGTTTCAGTCGTGTGCGACGCAGAGCTTCGGGCCCCGAAAGGACCGCCTCTGAAGTGCCAAGCCTGGGCAAGGTGTGCAACCTGCAGCTGGGTGTCTTGGAGCACGGCGGCATGGACCTGTCCGAGAGAGCCCTGTCCATTTTACACATGCAGGCAAGCTCTGACGCATGAGGCACCCAGAACTCAAGCTACGGCTGAGGACCACCACAGCTGAAGTTCCAGCAATGCCTTATGAAGATCCGTCTCGTTCTCAACAGGGTGAGCGATGATAAGGCCTCTGTGTGTTCAGAAGACGCTTGCGCACACGTGTCGCAAGTCTTGGCGGGGGTCTGGGTGGGCTGAGTCAAGCGAAGGACAGAGTCTTTTGTGGATGCCTTGACAACCTCACCTGCTCCAGTATAAAACGAAGTTCAATGTCTTCCTCTCGAAACTTTTGCGGTTGATTGTAGCTTCCAACCCCGTGCCACGCAAACAACACTCGCAGCCCCAAGCGGTTGGGAGCGGCACAGCCGTGGAGAGGAGGTGGCTGCGCGTCCCAATATATGAAACGCTGCAGAGGCTGACCTCGGGGAAGTGGACGGCTTGAACTTCAAACCGCCACAATCCCGGCCACGGCATGAAACACCACGGGCTCCCCAGACTCTAAGCCCAGGTCCCCCCGGTGCTTCTGCCTGAGCCTCGGCTGCAATCCCGCAGCCACAGATGGTCAAAAAAGCTGTCGCGAGCTGCCAAGACGCCAGAAGTTCATCACGTGCTTGGTGGAAGTTGACGATGAACTCCTGCGTTGCAAGAAAGCCTGTGACAGTAAAGACTGAAAGCTGCATAAGTGGACTCTCAGATCATGCTGCCTGCGTCGAGACCTGGGTGTCGAAATCCATGTTACCCGCCGAGCTCGGCAGAAGAAAGCCATAACTTGACACCTCCCAGGGCCCGACAGAGGCGATGGGCTAATTGCTCAGGGTCATCTACCTGAAGGTTGAAGAAAGATACGAGGGAGCCCCCACAAAGCGATGTGAAAGCTTCAGATTTCGGCCAACCAGGCAGACCGAACCTAGCAGACGAGACACGTGGCAAACACTCTGCAAGGAATGCCTGCAAGCCCAGCTGGCGCTTCAAGCAGAGTGCGAAGATCACATCCTGGATGCTGGATGTCAAGTTTAAAGGCACGCATTGGATGCACTTCTCCCAGACCCTGAGGCTCGACCCAAATCTCTCGACCCTGGGCTCTCAACCCAAGCCTCTTCCAGATGTCCTTTCCGCAGGGTCCACCCCTCACCCCTCACTTCAAGGCACTGCTTAAGCCCGTAGAACTGGCGTAGACTCGAACAAACCAATTTGATGTTAGATCTTATCTCATCATGATCTTTTCACGTTGTGACTGATGGTCTCAGCATTTTCTGAACTTCCGCTCATCCCACTCGAGATACAGCAGGACCCCTGCAGAAAAAAAGATCCGCTCGGCGTCTTGCACTGGCAGTCACGATCCAGCCAGAGCAGGTTATGACACTGAGTCTCATCGTGTTGCCTTCCCTCTGCCGTCCTCCATGGCATCTCCTTGCGTCATGTGCATCATGTCTTCCTCGGTGACAGCTCAAACTCGGGAACTCGAGATGCTAATCGCTGCAGCTTGGTGGCCTGTCGGCTTAAGCTCGTAACCAGCACGACTCAGCTGCCCCAGACTGCTGAGGTTCTGGTTTCTCGGGCCCTGGCAAGACAAACTGGCGACGCCGCACCGACATCTGCCAAGGCACCACGGCTTACTCCGTAGCCTCCATGGGACAGACCGTTGACTTCAGCTTCGCTCCACGTGTTGCACAGCAGCAAGGCTTTTAGAGTCGACGGGCTCTGCCTGCTTGTGATTCTGTCGGGTCGTTTGAACAAACCGTCGCCTGAACCGCCATGGCCGAAGTAAAGCGCTGCCCACCTGGCCGAGATCTCTCAACATGCGGAATTCAGTGCTCAGAGTGCGTTTATCTTTGCAGGTAACCTTCTGCTCTAGCACATTTCATAAGCCAGAGGCAGAAGAGGCCGTCGCAGAAGGGGCCAGGGCACCCAGAAAATTTGGTGGACTTATGCTTGGGCTGCTTGCTCGTGACATCTCAAGTCGTTCAGTAAAACCCCAAATGCAACTGCAGCTCAAGCAGTCAGCTATCGTCTCAAGTTGTTGACAAGCATCGACAGCTAGACATATCACGAAGGTGGCGTGGTGGGACCAAGGCGTGAACAACGCCTCAGTGAGTCGCGCTGATCCGCTTCAGGTATATAGGGAGAGGGCCCCGGAGTCAAAACGGTTCGCCTGCCAGCGTGCTAGCCATGATTGCTCTGTGTCTCTCCCCATCATAAGCAGAAAGGTCAAACAGAAACCATGAAGCCTACTTCCGAGCCCGAGCACCTGCAAAGGCAGCACCTTGCACACCAAAGCTCCTCGAACCCCGAATTCAACTCCAGGTGCGTGGCCGAGGTAGTGCGGATCCTGCAAAGCGAAGACATTCCGTTTCAAGCGCGTGTCAAGCTTCCACGCGCAAGCTGCGATGACAACTTCCACTCCTGAGCAGTAAACCCATCCGCACAGTACAGGGCCAAACATGTTGCAGGCCGCAAGCATCCAGGCATGAGGTTGATACAACCATCCGAAAAGAAGACATAGTCAACACTTTCGCTTGCCTGCATTCATGTATGGACGTGGTTATGACGTCATGCACACCTCGAAGGTCATGTCACGGCATGTGAGTGATTAGCTACGTGGGAACAAATGCATGATTGCGGCTTGCGGGACAGCATTTGCGCGATATGTCCGAAGTGGCTGTGCCTGTAACGATATCTGCACAGACGTCTGTCTGTACATGTATGTAGACCTGTAGACCGAGCACAAGAGTTTCAGAGAAGGAGAGAGGCATCCCAACAGACCTCGAATTTTCAGCAACCCCCACATTAGAGCCTCGCTGCGAAAGCAGCTCAGCCGGTCGCTTAGAGTCCGCCTCAGGGCTGACAGCTCTGGAATACCTCGCCTTGCCACAATGCTCCCCGGAATCGAAACATTCCCTGACACTCAGGAAACCTCAACCTCACTCCACACGTCGAACGTTGCAGATTTCGAACATCAACAGCAAGCCATCTCCGGAGACTTGGAGCCGTGGGACAAGTTCACGTAGGTGTCGGAATCGGCCTGGTGAGCACCGGAGCAGCCAAGGTAGATCTCATTCTGCGGGCACTTTCTCGTTTAGGCTCTTTGTGGATTGGGATCTTTTTGTGGCTTAGGGCTTCGGGGTAAGGGTCATGAGCTGCGAAAAAACTGCGATTCTGGAAACAAGACCTCAGGTCATTTGCCTGACAAGGCTGTCGACATCCCCAGCCTTGAAGATCCAGTCGCACTCGTCTGGCTCATATTGGCCGAGGTAGTGCCAGATTTTCAAGATCTCAGGGCGAATCGAGATTGAAGGGACAAAAGCTAGTTCGGCGAGCTGAGGCCCGGATACAGGAATAGGGCGGGCGCTTGTCTCAAACGATGCAAATCGCCATGTGGCTTTGGTCCTTCTCTTCGTCTCCATCGTTTCTACAAGACTTCAGCAAGTCCGAAGAGAATCTTGGGCCCAGGCCCGGATGGGTAGATGGCGGTAGTCCACCTCTGTCAGACTCGAAGACGAGGCAAGATGCTGTGGGGGCATCATTTATCCACTATTGCTGGAGATCGTAGCGTTGCGTAGTTTCTAGATTTGTGGGGCGATACCTCGGCAACAAAGGCAGATCACATGAGCTGCCAAATGGCGAAGCACACAAACCCGAAGCAACTGATTAGAACATCGCTAGCTCAGGCGACAAGCCTGCTATCTGCACCCCCTAGACATGCGAGAACTGAGAGCACAGATCTGCTGCACGATTTTCATCCAAAGCAAGTCCCACACCGCACGCCGTGACGTGCGCAATATTGACTTGAGCTTTGAAACGCTCCGCTACTCCTGAATTTCAGGCCAGGCCATAGCCGGCTCAACATCAAGGCCTGTGCCGCTCGGTACCCATGCACTCAATTTCTGCATCTCGAAATGGGGCTTTCTAAGCTCATGCTTGACAAGGTTCTACGACCTCCTTGTTGGTTGACTGCCGCGACGTGTCGCTGGCATGACAGCCAGCTGGCAACGTCACGTGTGTCAACCGCGGTAGCACAGATCTTTTTCCCAAGGCTTGGGCCAAGAATGAGCAGTTTGCGAGAAGCACTGCTGATGCGTGCTGTAGTGCACATACATTCTGGTGGACAGCTGCCAAAACGACGCCGCGATCGTTTCGAACATCTGCGTGTGCATAAAGAAGTGCCTGTCCATCATGGCGCACTGCTTCCAACATTACTTCCCGGTCCCCCAGAAGCTTGTCATCGGCAAAGTAAAGAGCATCACCGCTTCTGCGCACTGCTGCAAGTACGACCTCACGATCACCGAGAAGTTCCTTGGAAGCATGCTGCAATGCCATCCCATCCCGCCGAATGGCCTGCAACACGATGTCTCGATCACCTTTTACCCTCACAGTAGCATATTCAAGCGCCTGGGGGTCCCGCTGCACGGCTTCCAGCACGATTTCTGCATCATCCTTTAAGTCCAATCTTGCATACTGCAGCGCCGTCGGATCTCGTCGTACGGCTGTCAACACCAAGTCGCGATCACCACGAAGTTTTCCAGCGGCATACCGAAGTGCGACCCCCTGCTGAAGAACTGCTGCCAACACAACTTCCCGATCACCATCAAGCATGGCGACGTGCTGAAGGGCTCTCCCATCCTGGCGCACTGCGGCCAATGCCACCTCACGGTCTCCTCGAAGCCGCGCGGAAGCATATCGAAGCAATGTGCCATCTTGATGCAGAGCGGCAAGGACAATGTCGCGGTCATCATGGAACCGATCGTGTGCATACACCAAAGCATCTCCATTCTGCAACACAGCTGCCAAAACCGTTTCACGGGGATTGTGCTGAGCTCCAGACCCCCAGGAGAGAAGCGACCCGCTTTTTCGCAACAGGTCAATCAACAGTAAGCCTGCGAATAGCCAAATAATCCAGCCGCAGGGAATTGCTTGCAAGCAGTCCCTGAATGCGATTCGCGGTATGACTTGAGTCGCGGCTTGCTCTGGCATGACACCTGGAGGTACCGCAATCGATGTCAAAGCTGCTCTGCAGAGAGGGCATGTCCGCACACGCGACGCGCAGGAAAGACAGAACTGGTCGTGGCCACAGGGTTTCAGGGTCACCTGCTTCTCCTTGTCAAAACAAATCGCACATAAGTTTGAACCTTCTTCCTCATCCTCGCCTTTCACAGTGCTCCGAGCATTTCGACGGGACCTGACCATGGCTAGCATCTGCGTAGGTGTGGAAGTCTTTACACTCTCAAAAGCCTGACTCGATTCAGTGACTGTCAATGTGGAGCAGAAAATGAAGCTGGCATTGATCAATTGAAATGATGAACCTCGCAACACCTATTCTCACTGATTCTGCTGCGGGCAAGAATACATGAATTCAGGCATGCCCAAGTACAGACCATGAACACAATCTCTCGCAGCGTTCCTGCTTGACCGTTCTTGTTCTGCTCTTCCGGCATCAAAAGCCTACGAAGCCGTCGCCACGAACGAGGCCGAGCGTTGCAGGCGGAATTCTCGCTTGGGGCGAATCTCTCCCTGTGAGAGCCCGCGAGCCCGCCTCCTCGTCTCCGGGGACGTGGAGCGTAAAGGGCTCCAGGGTGGTCCTTCACCACGGGGCTTAGGCTCACGGGTTACTGTGAGGGTTCCCGTAGGGCTTCTGAGCCGGCTAAGGCTTTAGGGGAAGAGTGCCCCAGCAGTGTCCCGCAAGCGGGCGAAACTTCAAGCCCGTAATGATATATAAATGTACACATGTTTTGTACATAATTACCAGTATGTCACATATAATATGTCTGTGTGCGCATATATGAGTCTAGATATATATATATATATATATACATATATATATATGTATATGTATATGTGTGTGTTTACACACATATACAGATACATATATATATATATATATATATATAAATACATACACGCACATAACGATTACGTTATCATGTGCAGGGTCTCCGCAACAACGCGAAATGTCGCTTCCCACTAGCACCATCGAGTGATTTTCCAGTGAATCGAGCAGCAAGAAACCAATGTCGGCAATCTCGTTTTATATATAGCTCCCTCAGCCTGAACCCTAACGCCGAAAAGCCCTCGAGAACGCGGTCCCAGCCGTGCTTGCAACGCTGACGAAGCGAACCCTTGCACCTGGCAAGATGACAAGTCCGACGACTTGAGGTATTTGGGTTTAGGCTTAGGGTTCTCGATGGTATTGTGAGTTCAGGGCCGAGGATTTATACGGTCGAACTGTTTGGATTTCTTTGTTGTGGACGCCTGTTTCCGTCTGCAGTGGAAACCATCGTCGAAACCCCATGTCATGGGGCGGGTTGGTGCAGGATGTTCCCGACTTCGTAAAACCCCTTCGTTTGGAATTTCAGTTGAAAACCGGAAGCCTAAGTCGTAAGCTGGAACCATGCCTGGGTACCTGGGAGCTCGGGCCGCCAACCCTCCCTCCCCAAAAGACTGCAATGGGGTAAGAGCAAGAAACAAAAAGGATGGACTAGTAGTCTAATGAGGGTAATGTAGGAACCCTGATTAAGAAACCTTGGGCCTTGTATTCGGGTTCCTTATGTGAATCCTGCTATTTTGGGGTTATAGGCCCAGGGTTTCTTAATCAGGTTCCTACGTTAGTCCCCCAAGCAGTGTGGTACACCATGGGGTTCTTGCCCCGGAAGTAAAGAAAGTGTTGCTTGAGGTGGTCCCCGCGTCGCATTTTTTTGCAGCCCACGGTGCAAATCTGGTCTCTGAGTCTTATTATGCACACTGTATACAACTTGTGCACAAGATGTTCGCGGCACGTCTGTTGTGTGGTGCAGCAGTGCGTAGTTCTCGCTGCCACGGGTCCCCGAGAGGCGGGATTCGCGGCAAAGAATGCGACATGGATCACTGCTGGCCCTGGAAAGGCAGCCAGCAACTGAAAAAAACGATTTCAGGTGTTGTCCTTGATCATCCTTAATCCTGCAAACTGCGGGGGGGAAGCAGAAGTCTCGCGCGTGCGAAACGCGCCAGTGCTTGGGCAAGGAAGCTTCGCAGTACTTGGAGGAAATTCAAGTGTCCTGCCGGTCTCCTGGCGGCTCTTGGTGGTGTCTGGACATGGTATTCTGGTGGTCGCTTGGTAGTCTCCTGGTACCCTGGTCGTCGTAGTCATGTTCGACTGTGTGGTGTTTCACTGTTTGTAACGCTGGCATAATCGCCCTTCTCCTGACCCGTATGCACTTGTGATAACAACCTCTACGAGTACAGCCTCACTGCACAATAGCCCGAAACGCAACCCTTTGTCACCACCGCAAAAAACACC